CCTCCTCCTCCTCCTGCCCTCCTCCTCCTCCTCCTCCTCCTCCTCCTCCTCCTCCTCCTCCAGAGAAGGCTCGCAGGCAGGCCGCACGAGATTTAAGGCCAAAGCTCTTCCGACAGCCGGTGAGCCCAGCGATCTCGCCAAGATGCTGGGGGGCCTTGTGCGAGCAGATTGCACATTTAACAGCGAGCTTTCGGCCAGGCTTGCAGCTATCGACGCTGGATTTCACAGCATGTGCAGATATTGGTATCAGTATGGCGTCCCCCTTGTCGAGAAGCGAGCTGTATTTCTTTCTCGGGTTCTAGGGCCAGCAGTTTCTGGAGTAGAAGCATTCCTACCTACACAAGCACACCTAGACAAACTACAAGCACGAGTACTACACTATGCACGGAGGGCGATGAGGGGAGGAGCAACATACGAGAAGGATGGGCACAAGGTCTCGATTTCCAACATGCAGGTTTATCGTTTTTGGTAGATGGCTCCAGTAGGACATGAGCTCAGAGCAAGGAGGATCAGGTGGTATCAAAGGTGGGTGGGGAATCCTAAACAACACATCGCAGAATGGGGAGCACTACTAGGCAGTATGCGGGTCGAGCTCGCTAACGAGTTGCCGATTGTGGGTGACGATGCTCGGCTCACTCAGGCTGCATGTCCCTGGGCTCGCAGATTTGTTGATGACATCTCATCGCTTGCAGAGCTCGGGGACGATGAATACAGTATGGTGCAGCAGTTCTATGGGCAGCCTCTTCATCTCTTCTCTGACCCTGAGCTGATCGATTGGTTCACGCTCTTCGACACAAAAAAGATCAGGGCCGCGTACTTATCGGTTCGTATCCCTCCTCCGTCATGGACCCCACCATCAGAGGCTCCAGAGGACCCCGAGGCGCAGCAAGATGTTGGGGAGTACGGTTGTCCAGTCCACGGGTGCTTCAGAAGGTTCCAGAGTAAACGTCAGGTCCTGGTTCACTTACACAATCATCATGGCCTGAAATCGATTCTTGGGACCGCCGTGGTTAACAACCAGTGCTTTGTGTGTAATAGCGTGTTTGAATCGAGAAATTCAGCTTACAACCATGTGGTGGATTCTTTCCAGAGTGGAGTATGTATGGTGAATCTCAGCACGACATTCCGAACACCTACACCTTTATCCTCGGACTGTCCGTTGTGTGAGGTTCAAGTTTCCGGCCCTTCTCAACTTTCACAACATATTCGTTCGCACTTTACACGGCTACCGCTACTATTTGACGGTGGTGATCATGGCCAGCGCCCCAGCCTGGCAGCTCGGCAGCAAGCGCAGGGCCAGTCAGGCCACAGGCGGAGACAACCAAAGGCAGCGGCTGGAGCAGCAGGTCGTCCATCAGGCTCGTCAGGAGCTCAAAGGCAAGGAGGGCGGCATCATGGCGGCGCTGCTCACGGTCTTGTGCAGGCTTTCGCTCACGAATGCCAGAGATCTCGCGGAAATCACGGGCGCTACGTTCACTTGTTTCCTCCTGCCAGCCACCGCAGGCCTCGTGGGAGCGATGAAGACAGCTGGCCAAGACTACGCGACGGACTGCAAGGAGCAGGGGAAGCAGCACGACAACGGGCCTCCATGGCCCCATATATTCATGGCGCTGGTGACCCACTTCCTGGCAACGCTTGCGGGCAGCCAAGAACCCGTGGTGAATCAGGCGTTGGCGGTACTCAAGCACTACTGGTCGCAGACGATCAAGGACGACAAAGCGGGGACCCTTCGGATACTATCAGATCATGTGCGCTACTGTCGCATACGGGCGTGCTGGTTCGACAAGAAGGGCGGCAAGAAGGAGGCGGACACTTGCAAGCTACAGTTCATGATGAGCCCATATATTCAGAGTCAGGTGGTCACGGTCGACGGCTCAGCATCATTGATGACGATCCACGCGGCATTGCAGGTCTGCATCGGCCAGGAGAAAGGCAAGTTGAAGGCGGGAGCAGCTCCCAAGGGAGCGTTGGAGAGGGACGCAGAGCGCTTGTTGGCCAAGTTCGGGATGGCTCAAGAGGAGATTCAGAAGCATCTGGCAGAGTAGATGGTGACAATATTGGTTCAGAGATTGGTTCAGAGATTGGTGCCAATATGGCACATTCTTCTTCCTTGGTTCAGAGATTGGATCTTGCTACGGCGGCGACACCTATTGCTGCGAAGGCATCTTCTTTGGTTCAGAGATTGGATCTTGCTACGGCGGCGACACCCTCTGCTGCGACGGCATCAGCGAAACCCTCCGCACGCCGTTCCACGCCAGCTCCTACCTCTGAGGCCCCTTCTCGTTCAAGGATTAGGCAGCCTGCTCGTTTGTCGTCGATTAATCAGTCAATCAGAACGCTTGAACTGGCCCAAAGAGGCCACATAGGACATTCCCAGTTGGCCAAGTTGCAAGAGAAATCAACGGCCCCTATTTTAGAATACGTTTCGGGAAATGTGAAATTCAAGGCTTATTATCAGGAGCCGTTAGAGTTTCGGTTGACGGTGGTTCAGGTTCTTCAGAGAGCCGCCCAGGTCAGGACAGTTCCCACTGACCTCGACTCTTCCTCGTTCTCTGCTGATGCGCGTGCTTCGAGTGCGCTGCTTGCTCCTCCTCCTCCCCCACCACCACCGTCACTGAACTTAGAGGTTGATCAGACTGAGTTTCGTACTTAACGCTACGGCCCCCTCCGCTGCCTGCTGCCCTCTCCCCCTCCTTTCCTCTCTCCCGCGGCTTCTGCTGCTGCTTGCTCTCTTCCTCCTTCTGGCCTCGTGCGTGTGTGTGTGTGTGTGTGTGTGTGCGTGTGTTGGCGGTGTCCTGTTTCTCCTCGCCCGTCGTTCCCCGTCGTTCCCTTGTCGTGTCGTTGCTGGGCTGTGGCCTAGGATTGAATTGGGGGGACCTTCGACTCTCTTCTAATCGCGAGCCTGCCGCTGGGAGGATGGTGCCCATGTAGGCCGTCACGGGCAGTTCCCCATTGGACGGTCCTGCTCTGGGCCAGAGGCTTCCCCCCAGCGAGGCTGCAGGCTATAGCCCCGTGCTATCCGCAGATCCTTATACATATCTTGTGCTCGTTTGCTAAGCGTCGCACGACAGCGGAACTCATCAGGGTCGTAAGCGTTCCAGTCCAGCCAGTCCTCCTCCTCCTCCTCCTCCTCGTCCTCCTCCTGCCTCCTCGTCGTCCTCCTCCTCCTCCTCCTCCTCCTCCTCCTCCTCCTCGTCCTCCTGCCTCCTCCTGCCTCCTCCTCGTCCTCCTCGTCCTCCCCCCCTCCTCCTGCCTCCTCCTGCCTCCTCCTCGTCCTCCTCGTCCTCCTCGTCCTCCTCCTGCCTCCTCCTGCCTCCTCCCCCTCCTCCTGCCTCCTCCTGCTCCTCCTCGTCTCCTCGTCCTCCTCTCCTCCTCCTGCCTCCTCCTGCCTCCCCCTCCTCCTCCTCCTCCTCCTCCTCCTCCTCCTCCTCCTCCTCCTCCTCCTCCTCCTCCTCCTCCTCCTCTCCTCCTCCTCCTCCTCCCTCCTCCTCGCCTGCTCCTGCCTCCTCCTCCTCCTCCTCCTCTCCTCCTCCTCCTCCTCCTCCTCCTCCTCCTCTCCTCCTCCTGCCTCCTGCCTCCTCCTCCTTTTCCTCCTCCTCCTCCTCCTCCTCCTCCTCCTCCTCCTCCTCCTCTTCCTCCTCCCCCTCCTCCCCTCCCTGTCCGAGGAGACCACCGGCACACAGGCCCTGCAGCTCGTGCGGCTCCAGAAGGCCGCCCCGCCGCGGGCGCCGTCGTCGCCGTGGCTTTGAGTCGGGCCTGTCCCTCTACATGAGGCAGATTTTCAAAAAAAAAAAAAAAAAAAAAAAAAGAGTCTGGGGACGATTTGTTGATTTTTTTTGCTTGTTGGGTTTTCATTTTTTCGTATTTTTCATATTTCATTTTTTTGTATGTTTCATTTTTTCATTAAAAAATAGTTTTTTTTATTTTTCATTTTTCGCCCAAAATCCCCCTGAAGGGGGACATGCCCGACTTAAGCGTCGTTCCTGTAGATCCGACGCTCCTCAAAATATGGCCGCGGGCGGTTTAGGCCGTTTTCGGTCTCCAGGGGCCCTCGCCGGGCCTCGGGACCATCAGAAAACGATTCAGGACGAGACACCGGCTCTAGGGGAGTGGTCCAGACTTCCAGGGCCCACGCATCAACAAAAAGTGGAGCAGCTGGATGTCTGGGTTGTTGCTGGTTGCGAAAAAATGTTCTTAGATGATTTCATTGTTTCGTTCACTCCGCCAGCCCGTATTGTGCCATCGCAGGCGTTTGTTTGCGCGTTCGTGGCCTTCTTGGAGGCCGTTTGGTAGCCTCTTGGAGCCTCTCTTAGGACCTCTTGGCGGTATTTCTGGGGCCTCCTGGGGCGTCACGGGGGCCTCTTGGGGGTCTCTTTGGGCCTTCGGGGGCCTCTCGGGAGCTTCTTGGAGGCCTCTTGGGGCCTCCAGGGGACCTCTCTGCGCCTAGAGCTCGAAAATGTCCGTTCGGGTCCTTCGGAGCCTCTTCGGCCATCTTGGAAGCCTCTGGGGCTGTCTTGGGGCCCTCTGGGGCCGTTTTGCGCGCTCTTGGAGGCCTCTTGGGCCGTGTTGGGGCGATCCTGGAAGCCTCTTGGGCCCTCTTGGAGCACTGGTAATCCGAAAAGGCGAGAACGCCAAACAAAAACGTTCAAAAACTAAAGGAACATATCTGACTTCTGCCTCTGTGGGCCCTCTTGGGAGGTCTCTTGGCGGCCTTCTGGGGCGTCTTGAAGGCTCTTTGGGCTGTCTGGATGCCATCTCTGGCGTCTTAGATTGCTCTTGGACCGTCTCGGACCATGTTGAGCTCTGTTGGAGGCCACTTGAAGCGCTCTTGGAGCGCTCTTGGGAGCCTGCTGGGACCTGGCCAGGACCTCGCCGCGGGACCTGACCGGGACCTTGCCATGATTTGCCCAGGACCTTGCTGGGGTATTTTTCGTCCGGGGACCCCCAAGGGCGGCCCCGCGCGCGAACTAGAAATAGTTTTAACCGGGTATCAGAAATCTTAGGACGCCATTGGCCTGTTGGACCGGCGAACTTCTGGTGGAGATTGTTTTGTTTCGTTGAATCGGCTTCATGTTATGAGAACATGGTTTACGTTCTTAGAACATTCTCGTGTTCGGAGAAGACGTCGTGGTAGGTCTGTGGAATGCTGGGATGGTCGGTCCTGGTCGTTGCCGCCGTGGGCGTCGTTGCCGCCGTGGGCGTTGTTGTCCACCCAAGCCCACGGCCACAGGATTCTCCAACCTCTCGCGGTTGGCTAAGGACAAACCCCCGAAGAGTGGCGTGTCCTTCCCCGCGCCCTGAAGAGGCCGGTTTTACATGTGAGGTTGGCCCTAACTCGGGGCTGACCGCGTGGGGCCGTGCGTGCACACAGGCGGCCCCATTATGCCCCGAAGCCCGAAATCTTCCTCCTCCTCCTCCTCCTCCTGCTCCTCCTCCTCCTCCTGCTCCTCCTCCTCCTGCTCCTCCTCCTCCTCCTCCTCCTCCTCCTCCTCCTCCTCCTCCTGCTCCTCCTCCTCCTCCTCCTCCTCCTCCTCCTCCTCCTCCTCCTCCTCCTCCTCCTCCTCCTCCCGCGCCCCGCCCTGCCGCGCCTCGTGCCGCGACCGAGCCCCGACCCCCTCTGCCGATCTCCCTCTCCCGCCTCGACTCTGCGCCTCCAGCTGCCGCTGCCGCGGCTCCTCCTGCGCCTGGCTCTCCCGCGCGCCCCTCTTGCGGACAAGGCGCGGCGCCTCCTCGCGCTGTAAAGGAAGTCCAGACGGGAGGCTTGTCGCTATTGTCGGCCTCCGGGGGGGCCCTTTGCCGGGCCTCGGGGCCGTCAGCGGATGATCCGGGATGAAAAACCGCTCCCATGGCAGGGCTGGGCTCGAGCTGAACGGTGTCTTGACGATGTCGTGGGCCGTTCTCGTTCTGATTCCGTTTCGCAGCAGAGGCAGAAGGAAGACAGGACGAAGGACAACGGCACCAAAACGACAAGTAGAAACACTGTTTGGCTCGAACCCCGCGCTCTCCTCCACCGTCTGCTGCCCTCCTCCCTCCCCCACGCGCCCCTCCGACCACTGCTGGAAGAAAGCCGCCATGAAGGAGACGGAGCGGGTGCGGATGGAGACAGAATTGGGACCCTGGGGTCGGCGCGAGGTCGGGGGAGAATACTGAGGACGGCTTCGTTTGGGTGATTTGTATGCCTTCTGCGAAACGAGACGGGCCTTGAGGGAAACGGACATGGGACCCGTGGGGCCCTATCCCGGGACGGGCTTTTCCTCCCGAGCCGCTCTTTGTGTCGACGGCCCCCAGTGACCCGCGCAGGGCCCCAGGGGGAGCCCGCCTAAACAGTGTCGAGGAGCCTTGGGGCCGGCTGCCTTGGGGACCCCTTCGACTAGACGTCAGTGACCGCTCGCTGGAGCGACCTTTGGTGCGGGCCCAACGGGGTCCCCCGATCGCCGAATGCGATGCAATGGTAGCGTATTGCGCGCTTGTGTTTGGTCCCACCCGCGGTCCGCCAAAAAGCCGCGCACCAATGGTCACACTTACCCAGGGTCGCTCTTGCGTGTAGTCGACCCCCTTCCCTTCATGGCGCTTGGCATTGTTCGCGCGTGTGCATGTACTCCCGGCGCGGACCATGGAGGATCGATGGGGGCTTTTGGACCATCGTTCGACGACCCTTGGCAATGCCAAGTTGGCATTGTTCGGATGTATGCACGTGTTCGCGGTGGGGACCATCGAGGAGCGTCTTGGGCCATCTTCCACACGACACCGAGAAGTGCACGGGGAAGGGACGTCCGAGCGATGGCGGGGGCGAGAGGGCCGAGCCGGCGGCGCAGGTCACCCGCTTCGCGCAGTTCCTTCGGCTGGTGCGCATCTTCAGGACCCGCCCGTCCTCCTCCTCCTCCTGCTCCTCTTGCTGCTGCTGCTCCTCCTCCTCCTCCCTCTCCTCCTCCTCCTCCTCCTCCTCCTCCTCCTCCTCCTCCTCCTCCTCCTCCTCCTCCGCCTCCTCCTCCTCCTCCTCCGCCTCCTCCTCCTCCTCCTCCTCCTCCTCCTCCTCCTCCTCCTCCTCCTCCTCTCTCCTCCTCGTCCTCCCCGTGCATTCGTCCGCCTCCATCCACCTCCCTCCGTCCTCCTACTCCTCCCTCCTTCCCCATCTGTGGATTAACGTGCTGCTGGGAGGACGCGACGAAGGCAGCGAAGAAGGGGGGAGGAGGAGGGAGTAGATGGAGGAATTGTAACGAAGAAAGGAGAAGAGAAGGAGGTAGGAGGAAGAAGAGCAGGAGGAGGAAGAGGAGGAGGAGGAGGAGGAGGAAGAGGGGGAGGATGGTGAGCAGGAGCAGGAGGGGGGGGAGCAGCAAAAGCAGGAGACGAGCCAGCAGGAACATCATGAGGAACGGACGGCGAGTACGAGGAGGACGAGAAGGAGGAGAAGCAGCAGCAGCTTCAGATGCAATTGCTGCCGCCGAGGTGAAAGAGGGGAGGACGACGAAGAGGAGGAGGTGGAGGAGGAGGAGAAGGGTGAGAGAGAAAGAGGGGGAGAGGGAGAGGAGGGCAAGGAGGAGGAATTGTCGCAGGAGGAGCAGCCGCAGCAGCAGGAGAGCGCGAGAAGGACGAGGATGTCGGCCGCGCGCGCACTAAACATGCAATGCCGTACGGTAGGTCCGCGTCGTGTCGACCGGCGGCGACCCCGCCAGCGGCGTTCAACCTTGAACGCCGCGGGCGACCCAGAATCGTTCGATGTGGAACGATTTCGACGTTTCGGAGACGGCCGATCGTTCAAGGTTGAACGATCCCCGCGGTGTCAGAAACCAACGCCTGGGTCGACACGACGCGAACCTGCCGTACGCCTGCGGGGAGCAGGCAGACCGGCCCACGTCGTCAAGAACCTCCAGCGCGGAATGTTGCCCGCTGCACGTGGCGCTCGAGCTGCGCCCGTGGCGCCGGTGCCCTGCTTCGCCCTGGACGTCGGGCACCTCCTCCTCCTCGCTCCTCCTCCTCCTCCTCCTCCTCCTCGCTCCTCCTCCTCCTCCTCCTGCTCCTCCTCGCTCCTCCTCCTCCTCCTCCTCGCTCCTCCTCCTCGCTCCTCCTCCTCGCTCCTCCTCCTCGCTCCTCCTCGCTCCTCCTCCTCCTCCTCCTCCTCCTCCTCCTCCTCCTCCTCCGTCTCCTGGGATCGCGCCTTCGGTTGAGAGGCGGGGCCATGTGGCCCACAAGTCCCACGGGGCCTTGTGTCCGCTCAGCCCGGGGAGCCAACCCACTTGCGCATGCTGGTCGATTTGTCAGGGTGTGGACCGGAGTTTGTGCTCGGCCCCCCTACGAACCAAGCATTTTCGACTGTGCGGCGAGTCACGGTCGACGAGGTGTCTCCCCATTCCCGAGTCGTTTTTTCCTGACGGTTTGTGCTCCGCACGCGGGGACAGGCCCTTCGATGGACTCGTGGACTCCTCCTCTTCCTCCTCCTTCTCGCTCTCCTTCCCCTTCCTCCTCCTCTTCATTCCTCGTCCCCCCCCCCCTCTCGTCCGTTCCCTTTCCTCCTCCCCTCTTCCTTCCTTGCCCTTTCCCGTCCTCGTCGTTGTCGTCGCCCTCCTCCTCCTCCTCCTCCTCCTCCTCCTCCTCCTCTTCCTCCTCCTCCTCCTTTTTGCGTTAGACCACCGTTAGGATTGAGCTTGCCGCGTTAATCTCCTACTCCTCCTCCTCCTCCTGCTCCTCCTCCTCCTTCTCCTTCTCCTGCTCCTCCTCCTCCTCCTCCTCCTCCTCCTCCTCCTCCTCATCCTGCTCCTCCTCTTCCTCCCCCTCCTCCTCCCCCTCCTCCTCCTGCCCCTCCTCCTCTTCGCCGCAGGGCCTTCCCCTACTTGGCACAGAGCCTGCTGTTCAAGCGCATCCGGTCTCTGCGCGGCGGGCGGGGCCCGGCGCGCTGCCGCTGCTGCGGCTCCGGCCCCTGTGCGTTTCCCCCTCCGTTCTTCGTCGAGGCTTGGCATTTTCCAGGCAGGCCGTCGCGGGCGCCGCTGCCTGGTATTGGTGTATCGGGGGCGGAAGTGACGACGAGGCGTTGCGAACCAGAGGGGTTGGGCAGTTCTTATAAGGGGGGGGGGAGTCTAGAAAACTAGCCCCTTCCCCCCTCTGAAAACTACTTAATGCGTGTTCGTCATTCTTACAATTGTTTTTTTGGAGGCCCCCATGGAGGGTCAGCGGCGTAGTTGGGGCTCCATATGGGGCACGAAAGCGTGTGAGGGGCGCGCCAGACTGGGCGCGAAACCGCATGCGACACCACCCACTGGCGGCGTAGTTGGGGCTCCCTATGCGGCACGAAAACGTACGACGGGTGCACCAGGATGGGCATGGTGATGATGATGACGATGATGTTGATGATGATGATGATGAGGAGGAGGAGGAGGAGGTGGAGGAGGAAAATGGTGACGATGACGATGATGATGGCGATGGCGATGATGATGGTGATGATGATGATGGCGATGGTGATGATGATGATGGAGATGATGATGATGATGATGATGATGATGATGATGATGATGCTGATGATGCTGATGATGATGATGATGATGATGATGATGATGATGATGATGATGACGATGATTTTTCCGACTCTTTTCCACTGCAGCAGTAGCAGCAGCAATAGCTGCCATCATCCAAACTGTCAGAGGAGGCAGTCGCAGCAGCAGTAGCTGCCGTTCCACAAGCAAACGACCGCGGCCAGAGGAAGAGAGGAAGAGAAATTTCACAAACACATGTCTCATGAATAACTCTGCTGTGAACCTTTGGAGGATGAGAGGCAGCCGCACAGAGCGCGCCCATCACTTCAGGGCAAAAGGTCGGACCGCCGCTGCCGTTGCAGCCCTCTTCGTCAACTCCACTCCATCCCAAGCGCAATGCTCGCGATAAAGCTTGCCATTGCGCCCTGGGATCCCGAGGTCTTTCAGCTCAGGGCGCGAGTAGGTCACATCCTTATCCTTGCCGTCCACGACACACTTGATTGTGAACGTGCTGCTCCACTCGAGGCGGTGGGTCGCCACTGGAAGCTTGCTCAGGCGCTCCTCCTCTGCGAGCTGTTTCTTGCGACGCTTAATGTCGGAAGTGTCCGCGCCGTCCTCCTGAACCACCGTCGCCTTCGAGATGGATCGAAGCAATTGCTTGCCCAGAACTCCCGAACCCAAACCCAGAAATGGCACCCTCGCCCACCCGCCCACCCCACGCTGAAGGCTTACACCTGAACTTGGGCAACTCGCCTTATAGCCCTGACCAGCTCCCCAAACACTAAGACCGCATATGGTCAGAGGCATGGAGGCTGGGCTATATGGCCAGCTTCGGTCATTGATTCGATCCCTGAGCCTTCGGCTCCTTCTCCTTGGGCAGTGGCTTGATGGCCCATGCCACGCAGACGTCCGCCTTGTCGTAGTTGGAGTACATCGCGCCGTCGATGTACAGACGTGGCATCGATGACTCCTGGGGGTACAGCGGCAGGCAGGTCGACTTCGGCAGCGAGGCCGCCGTCGTCTCGTCCACAACCCTGCCCCAGAACTGCAGGGGGGTCGGCATGTCGGCGGTCCTCACGAGCTCGCGCGTCTTCCTGGGATTACCCTTCTTGTCTGTACCAGTATTGGTGCTGATCACGACGTTGCCGTTGGGCTCGTCATCGTAGGCCGAACAGGCCATGCGTAGGAAGAAAACGTTCGCAGCAGCTATCATCACCTTCTTCTCGCACGCGGTCATTGGCCTTAAGTCGATGCTCGTGTCATTCAACCTCTCGTCGTCCCTGTGGGCCGTCACTAGCTCCTTCGGTGTCTGCCGAACCTCGCGGGTGAGATCCCCAGTGCACTGGTTGTCCAGGATCGGCACGACGGACTTGCACTTGGTGTCCGTGACGGGCGCCCACTTCACCACGAGCGCCCGCACCAGCGCGTCAAGCGGGTTGGAGAGGATCGTACAAGACTCCACGCATTGATGGTTCTGTTTCTCGAGCTCCTTCAAGCAATCGCTGATCACCTGCGCCTTCAACTGGGGGAAGACGTGCAAGTTTTCTGGAACCTTCACGGCGTGCTGCAGACTAGACTTGATGATCGCAATGAGCTCGTGTTGTTTGTTGGTCTTCGAGAGCTCCGACTGGAAGTGCTCCTTCCTCTCCTGGAACTTCTTGCCGTCGTGCTCCAAGCAGTGCTCGTGCAAGCGCAGGGCCACCACGCAGGCTGCCACGACAAAGTCCTTGAACGGCAACTCAGACATCTTGAAGGCGTCCAGGAGACCAACCAACTCCTCGGTCGGCTTCCAACTCATGTCGTACTTAATCAGGCTCTGGTTGATATTGGCGAACATTGCCTCGAACATCTGGTGAACCAATGGCGGGAGCCACGCCGTCTGGACCGTGACTGGCCCTTCTTGCTTGGTGTAAGTCTGCTGGCCCAAAGACTTGAGTACGTAGCACGCCATGCGAATGCGAATGGCGAAGAAGACGTCGAAACTCGCCTTGTGGATATCACAGGTCCGCGCTACTTCTGGGTCCAGTAGCGAGTGGTGCCCCGCACCGACGATCTTCTCGTAGAGCACTAAAGCGTGGGCCCACGAATCTGGCAAGAGAATGTCCACGCTCGTCCCGCACGCTTCGGAGATGGTCTGGATCCCCGTAGCCAAGTCGCCAATGACACCGTTGAACTCGGCCACCTTGGCGAATAGCGACATCATGGCTTGGCTCATGGCACTTGCCACTGTTGGCTGCATCTCGAAAGGCGTCGTGAGAGGCAAGCTGTCCAAGTACTTCGCCACGCTGGCCAACGAATCCTTCGACGATGTGAGGAGGTCGTTCAAGACATCCCTGGTAATCTCGGGGTTAGCGACACCGATAGCAGGGCGGTCGGCGGAGATCGAGTGCAGCACGTCAGTCACCGATATGCCGCGGAAATCCTCGTCGGAAGGGCGAGGCGCCAACTTCGTGACTCGGTGGAACTCCGCCTTCATCGCTAAGCGAAGCTCTGAAAGGCTGTCGATCTTCTTCGGCTTGCCATTGATGACCAACTCCACCGACCCTTCAACGACCCCCACAAGCGCCAAAGCCTTGAAAGCCTCGACGACTCTCGCTTGCGTCGGGTCCATCTCCAGCATGCCATTGAAGAAGCTCGAGAGGTACGTCAGAACGGTGCGCTGCTCCATGGACTCGCTCACATCCTCCTGGCCAATGACTGGCAAAGCTCGACTCGCTGCAGACTTCGCTTTCGCTTTCGCCTTGGCATTTGTCTGGGACCTGTCGGGCTTGACCTTCCCGATGGTCTTGCTCACCTTAGCGAACTTCTTGGCAGAGTCGCCCGCCCCAAGCTTCCTCCTTTGTCCTGCTGCCTTCGGAGCCGCGCCTGAGCGACCGACGGCGTCCTGGAGGGCTGGGCGAGCAGCCGCGCCATCTGCCCGTGCACTGGCAGCAGCAGCCACGACGTCCTCGCGTTCCTGGCGACCTGCCTTCAGCACCTCAGCCCCGTCCATCTTCCCAGTGAGCCGCTCAAGCCCAACATCAGTGACGTTCTTGAAGGCTGGATTTGGGAGGCCCCCCGGGCAGATGTGGCACATGCCGGCCGGCTGGACGAGCGGCATCACCAGCAACATGATGTCAGCGTGCCACTCTGGGTTAGACTGCTTGATGGTCTTCCAGACGTCGTACATGCAGTGGGTGAGATGCGAGTGGTTCTTCGCCGCCGCGCTCATGAAGTCCACGCGTTCCTGGGTCGTCGACTTCACATGATCCCAGACTGAGATTTTGGCCGAGGAGCCGACAGGCACCACGTCCACCGCTGAAGTCTGCTTGTAGATGATATTGCACAGGTTGTAGTCGTGGTAGTCCTTCCAGCGCCTCGGGTACTTGCTGCTCACGACGAGGAACTTCTGCTTGTTGTATTCCTTGACACCCCCGAGGCCGTCCACTGTCCAATGGCTATTGCTGCTTTTTGCTGAAGTCCACGCTTGCTCTGTCTCATTCGTGCTGGCTATCACTTCAATGATGGTAGTGTCGGTGACCTGGTTGTTGGTGATGTTGCCGAGGTGTTTGACGAATTTCAAGGCGTCCCATGGCGTGCGCCAGTGGTAGCGCTTGGCGTGCTTGATGACCATCCGCAGCGAGATCTGTAGCACCCTGTTTTTCTTCTCTGGGTCGCTCTTGAATGCTAGCTCGGCACCGTCAAGCAAAGTGCCCCAGTGCATGTTACCCCTCTTGCCCGCTGGGCGCAACGACCACTTGTCGCCCACGTACTCGGCTGGAGGAGGGTCCACGAAGAATGGCCCCAAACGCTGCTGCTGGATACCTATCGTCTCGACGCTTTTCTTTCGAGCCATGACGCTCGCCTTGTCTCCCCGATCGTTCGCGGCATGCCGAGTCGACGACCAGGCGCCCGCGTCGTCGAGGCAGTAGAAGTCGCAGTCGCTGTCCAGGCAGTACATGGCATCGAGGATCGAGGACACCTCCAAGTCCGACATCTCATGGTCGCCGATGCGGTCCCTGAAGTGGGGGAACTCGTCATCGAACTTCGCCTCGTATGGTAAGCCTGGCGGAGGGCCCACAGGAGCGCCAGGGTGAACTCTGCTCATCTTTGGCGGCATTGTCCCGTGCGTTCGGTCCGAAGCCTGGCGCAATCAAAACTGACTGACTCCCCAAAGGCTTGGGCCAAACTTGGCTACGAAGGGGGCCCCGAGAGTTCACGCAGACCAGTGGGCGGGGCGCCGCCAATCGTTACTCGCAGGCCTGCCCCAAGGCTCGAAATGCAACAACGACCCCCTCGCCAAGTGGGCTGCGCGCTGACGCGCCTGCCCTGTGCGCGCGGGTCCACACCAGTTGTGTTGCGAATCTCGTTCGCAATGGCAGGGTGTCGTTTCGAATCCTATTCGCAAACCTATCCTCGCGTAGCCCC